TGCTGCGCATGTCATAGGGATTCTTGCCTGAGTCGCTGGTTGCCGTGTTACTGTCCATGAATTGCGAACATCATGCAGAATCAACGGTTGCAGCCTATCAATCTGTCGTCCAAAACTATGATAAACCTATATATCTTATTGGAATGTGCAATCGACGACGAACGCCGGATCTCCGAACAAATCGGCACTACAGTCCGATGTTTTCCTGCTTTCTCGAAGAGATTGTAACAGTGCATCTAGTCGCATGTTTCCGATGGATTCCTCGAACGCTCTGGGTTTGAAACCATAGATGATGGTTTAAAACCTCTCTTTCCCCCTTAAGTTTGCCATGTTGAATATGTTGCATGTAAATCCACAATGTTTGGACAGACCCGCTCCTGATCTGAATTCCATTGGTTACGGGAAAGTTGACCGTTTCACAGGTCGTTTTTCACACGCGTTGCGTTGTAAAACAACTTTCGGGGTGCCGAGGATCCAGTGAGCTCATAGGGCATGATGGCCATCAGGTTGCAAGCATCATAGGCCGCAAAGCATGCAGATGCGTTCACCACACCACCAGAGGTGGGGTCGGGATCGACACCTCTTGGCTTGGCAGCTTAGGGGCTGGAATCTGGGAAAATCTGCTGGGTTTCATGTGGAAAGTGTAGATTTTACTGGATTTCTTGGATAAACATGTGATCCTCTAAAACATTTAAAACGTGGAGTCCTATGTTGAATCACGGTGACACTCGCCGCTTCCAACTCAGTTCCGACATGGCACCTCTGTTGCACGCAATGATGCCCAGCTCACAGGCTGGCACCAGCCCTTTCCTGCCAGCTGCATCTGGGTGCAAGGTTTCATGAGAACTGTGTCTGTTGGTATGTGTCTATCTCCCGGCAAAGTTGCCAGATCAAACCTGCAACGATAAGGATAATATGGTGGAAAAAACACAAATATATATATATATATATTATATATATACACAATATAATATTTTATTTATATACAATATATTATTTATATATATAATATATAATATTTATTTATAAATATTTTTTTTGATCACTAAATCTCACGCCAAACTCGCACAGCAAGCGCCGAGTGTCATGATGTAGTAGTCGCCCTTGCTGACCACATTTGCAGGAGCATGACCACCCTCTTTCTGTCCACCAAAGTGGGCCATCTCTGGATACCACCTGCTTTGCATGTCATTTTCGACATGGATTTGACCTGTTTTGGACTCGGTTCGGTCCTTCCAGCACACTATCTTAATACAGCATGTCATGCAGATTCTCCGAATGCAAAACTTGATAGGTATATACCCCATGAACCAAACCACTTTATCATACATTATCCAGATTTCAGAAGCCCTCAGCTCCCTTCGACTCCACCCCTGGGGCTTCCAGCTTGTACTGCTCCAGGGGGTCTGTGAGTCCATTGCCAATGGCCAAGCCTTTCAGCGGGATCTTCTGCCCCTCACCTGCCTGCAGGGTCTGCAGACATATCGCAGGTGAGTGGTTCATGTTTTAACCATGAAAAGGGAATATCGGAATATCTCTATAGTATCTACAGTACTATGTTATATCAGTACATCAGTATATCATAGTATATCTATACAATATATTTATAAAATGTTCGGGATCAGCATCCCAAAATCCAAAGAGGGAAGCGCCGCTTGCCATGGGCTGATTGGACTGATGGCGGGCTGATGACGCCTTGTTGCCGCTCCAAATGCGGTGGCCGATGGCGGGCACATAGTGTCCTGTTGCGATGGGGGCAGCTTATGCCCACTGCTGAAGGCATACAGTAAGACTCCAACATCTCCAACTAGGCACTGGGCTCAAGTCTGGTAAAGTCTCGTCCTGCATAGGATTCTCCAAAGATGTAGAAGTTGGTGCTCTGGTACTGCTTGAACTCAGCAAAGAACTTCTGCAGGAACCTGATCATGGCACGGGTGATCCAATGTGCCGCTTAAAGAGACGATCTGTGCAGACGTGCGTTTTGAGTTTTAAGGATCTTCAAACTCCGGGCCCTGCTACTATTCCACTGAATGCTGGCAAATCAAAATAAAGTATATAGGAATGCTGTTGACCACCGGAAATTGTTGTGTATGTCGACTCCAATGTTTGATCTATATAAATTCAAATGAGTTGTGGCATTACAAGCATCCCCATTGATGCTTCTTGGTTGGACTTTCCTGTGGATGAGTTTCGAACTTCGAGCATGCTATCATGTGGCATGCTCGAAAATTGGGTCCCATCGCAAGCGCAAAATTTGGTGCTTTCAGTACAAGAGACCACCCGGTTTATGGTTATCCCTGTCAAGTTTGAATCCAACATCATCCAATTGCAATTAAAATCATTTAAAATCCTATTTGCGGATGCCCTGAAGACACTACATCCTGCCCTTAAAACACATTGTTTACCCTCTGGTAATGTAACACAGCGAACTGGACAATCACCATTTTCAGAAACGCAAAATCATCATCATCATCAGCAGCATCAGCAGCATCATCATCATCATCATCATCATCATAATCATCATCATCATTTATAACATATTTTTATGAGCCACGGCTTCCATTTCAAGAAATGCTCAATAATCATCATAATTCATCTATCTATAAGTATGTGCTGTTTTCCATAGCAAACTGTTAAATAACCAAAAGATAACAACGGTAACAACGAGGGACACAAACATGTTGTTGGCCACGCCCTGCTCGTTGTGGGTGCCGATGCCCGTAGAGAAGCCCACGCCGGCGGGTTGATCAACCCACATGACCTCAGGTATCGATCATTGATCCCCTCACTATAAATCAATATAACAATTGTACATTAAATTATATAATACTATTATAAAATCGTATACAATATTATACATATAACATCATATAACTATATATATAATCAATTATATATATACGAGTATATATATATATGTGTGTATATATATATGTATATATATATATATACACACTCTGTATATATCATATCAGCTTACATCACCAGCCTGTTTGCGGGATGGATTCAAACTCATAGGTCTTTATCACTATTCCCAGGACCCCAGGTCAGCCTGCTGTGAAGAAAAACAGTTCTTCATCACCAAGGGGCATTTGCGGCGTAGTGCCAAGAAGCAGGATTTCGGTAGGTATATTGACCTGAGCCCAATGAATTGAGTGGCCTGTAGACCGAAAGTTTCGCATAATGGATTTTGATGGATTATAGTCATAGTATGTTCTCGTAATTCCTGTGTGAGTAGGTAGTACAGGTATAACTCCTCAATCACCTAGCGATTTTTATCTTATGCACTGCTGATCCCATTTGATCACTACTGGCCAAGCGGTGTTGGTCAGCAGCTGAAGTCAGCACCAGACTTGCCATGTCTTGTACTGAGACCCTGAAACATCTGAAACTCTTACCATGGCGCTCTTATGGGCTGCTTGCCAATCTTGCCAGAATTTACCGGAAAGAGAGGATTTCTTCCTGACTGCCTCGTCATGCAGCGCAAGTCAGCACCTCCGGCTCCCCCCTGCGGCACCAAGGAGCCGTTTTTTGCCACTTTGCCTGAGTTCCAAGTAGCGTTGATGGACTTGGACCACTTGAACTTGTTGGCTTGCAAACTCATCAAACCATCCCACTTTCCAGGACACGATGAGTTTGAGGGATGGGCATGTCATTCTCAGACCCCACTAGGCCCACTACCCCAAGCACCCCACCACTGGACCATGGGTCCAAGTCGCAAGGCCCATTCTCAGCAAAGAGCGCCAATTGCGAGGAACAGCCAGGGCCACCAGAGAGCCACATCACCAGTGGTGCGGAAGAGGGGTTCCTCGGCGGAGATTTTTGATGTTTGACCGTTTGAACCCAATGTTTCCCCAGGAAAAAAGATGAAAAAAGGAAAAAAGAATAATCTGAACCAGCCAGAGGGATCACCATGGATCCGACGAGATGCTCCTTGGCCTCAAACAACCAGAAGAAATATTTGGTGATGGGGTTCACTGAGATGTAGCCAGCTGTTTGATTGACGCTTGGGTCCTCAGGCATGGAGTGCAGGGGCACAACAAATCGGAAGTGAATGCTTGAGAAGACACGACGCGAAGGTGTACAATAATTTGGTTTTAAACTATGTATATGTTTACATACGTATATACACATTGCATGTGTACATGGTACATATACTGAGACATAGAGAGACAAACAAAAAGACTGATTCTCAGTTGGTTTTGTCATGTTTTACCGTTTTACTCGATTAATTCTTGGTCCTAGGATGTTTGGACATCATGTCCGTTCAGAAAGCAACTTAGGGATCGTTCATCCGTACGCTGTCTTCGCTAACTCAACTACCATTCCCTTAAGGTCTGTTGTGGTTTTATAACTCATATAATGGGTTTCCCGTGCCTTCCCGTTGGTATGTAGAAAGGTTCCACATCCTTTTTCTGCGGATGTCATTCAGTCCAGTTCGACAATGACTGGAGCTGCTCTAGAGATGGCCCCTTCACCTTCAATTGCTTGGAGATTGGTAGCTCCTCCCTTACCTCCTCCTCCTCCTCCTCATCATCATCATCATCAAACACTTAATCAAACAATCAGATCATCCAATAATCCAATCATCCCAGCACCACATCCCACGAATTCCCACGATATCTCGCTACCTCACGACCTAGATCGCCCAGTGCATCTCAGCCACACAAAGCTTGGGATGAGTAAAGCCTTCGGCCGCCTGGGCCTCCTCGTGTGCGGCTTCAGCCTCCTGGAACTGCGTGGCTGAAGGATGCCTAGCTCTTTTTTTTGTTAGAGGAAAGGTGAGCTCCAAGACACCAAATTGGTCAACAGCAACAGAATACCAAAAAAAGTTGATGCTTCTTCAATCTTCATGCCACGAGAATCGTGGTAAAACCGGCGCCTTGGCCAATTGCTCCAGTGTGGAGCGGTTTTCCACCAGCAGCTGCGCTTGCACCAGCGGCAGCACAACTGCGACTCGCAGCATCCATGGCACCATGGCGAGGGAGACAAGGGTCCACCCCTTGCGATGGAGACAACCACGGGACCAGCAGCAGCTCAGCCAAAACGCTGGTGAAATCAATCTGAACCATCCTGTGCCTGCAAAGTGCCACGAGAATGCCAAGGTATCCGGCTTGATTCATGTTGACAGTAAAACGATCTTCAGCTCTAATTTGGAGCGCGAAAATGTTGACTGCTTTGCTTGCAACGGTAGCCGACAACCATTTTACCACTCCCATGTCAAGAAATCGAGGCACTTTGTGCCACAGTGATTCAATTCTGCACGACAGTCTCCCCTCGCATTCGACGCGGCCAAACAGCGACAATCACATCAAGAAATGGCCAGAGTCACGGTGGCTGCCATAGCAGTTTGAGAACTGATCTCTTTGGTATACAGGTCTTGAGTTGAGAGTACCTGGTACAGAAACCCTGCCTTTCAAGTCCGAGCGGCTGCTCCCTTAAACATCTGGCTGTTCCTTGGATTGGGACCCAAAACCTTATTTATTGAATATTCAAGCCAAGCAGACCCGTTTTGATAATAACTTTGTGGAAAATCGTGTGACTCCAGCTTTTTGAAATGACCGGGCTGAAGATTGGCTGGCACCGTCTGCAAACAGCACATGCGCTGCCCTTTGAGGCCACAATGCTTTGCTCAATATGCGCAATGCGACCTGAGCGTCGAATAAGGCGGAGAAAAGGGCTGCACTGACTCCAAAAAAAGCTGCTGGGATCTTGGTCAAGAAATGGGGATTGAATTTTGAAGCCATCCATTTGGACACTTTGAGCCACAGCCAAATCACTGCCACTGTCAGAAACCAAGGCCCTGGCACGCTGTGAGAACGCGGCAAAGTGGTGAGATGTCATCAGACTACTGACTGGGAGGGGTGGCCAGCGAAGCTGGAAAGGCTGTACATCTAGTGGTTCCCCCATGCGACGAAATATTGCACTGAGCTTCCAGTGAGGCACACTGTGCCTGATGTTTGGAGTCTTCTTGAAAAGTCTTCCGCAACTCGCACCAACAAATGATCAGAAAAGAAACGTATAGTGAAACAACGGCATGAGTAAATGAAGAAAAGATTTGACCTGAAACAGCGTTGTGATTGCTCCTATGTGGGACAGCGTGACGTAGACTTCTATCTGTTTGGTGAACATAGACTTCGGTCGGCTTTGCAGGTGCCGGTCTGGAAGTCCAGCGAGCGCAAGGGCTAAGTGCCATTTCTTTGCCTAAAAACCCTAGTCCATCAAGGATCAACTGGCTAAGACACTCACCCATGCTGAAGCCAGCCCATATTGCGAAAACGGCTAACTTGTTCCAATTTGCAGCAGGTGGGCAACATATTCTTCGCACAAACACAACGAAGTCCCTTGGTTAAGTCTGAAAAGGTCTTGACTTGTCATCCATTGCTGGGGTTCATCACTGCTCATTTGGCCAACAGCTGGAGATTGATTTAACCATCAAAGACAGAGATTTGCACAAAATTCGTCTGCTGCATCGCCGGAGTGCGGCTGGCACCCCCAAGCCATTCAGCACCCGCAGGCAGTGAATCAAGCCCTGGCTGCACGCCATTTCCGGTTGCCTAACTAACAGTCAAGATTCGCGTTTCTCGACCCCCACCAAAGATTTTCGTGGGGTTCCAACTAGCCATGAATGGAGGGTTTTCCTGCGAGTGTCAAATAAAAAATCGCTGGAAATGTCGAAATGTCGAACCCTTCACAACTCTGACTCTGGCCTTGAAAAAATGATGATGTTCTGCCAACTGCATCAGAAACGCCCCGGAAAGCATCCTTTCGAACCAACCCGCCCGGCCGGTGTTCACCGCGCCACACTTCGGGCGCGCCTGCAAGACGCCGGAAGTTTGTCACTGGATAGCTGGGGATCTCCGTGAGATTATCCCTAAAATTTTCCCAGCTGTTCCAAGTTATCCCAAAGATTGGCTCAAACATTATAGTATCCCAAAATTGCATCTGAAATTGTGAGAGGTTCAAAGCGCCAAGTGTCTAGGGACCTCAGGGTTTCATCCCAGTGCAAAGCAAAACCCAAGGATGAGTTCTTGTGCTCATGTAGTGAAGCTCGAAACTGGATGGAAAATTTTTGCTCAGTATCATCTCACCAAACGACCACAATTCTTACCTGCCGTATGATTGGGGTCATCCCTCATGGCCTCATGGCTGTTGCTTTGCCTCACTGCCCAGTGAACCAGTTAGGGATGGCCGTGTGTTGCTCGAAGACGGCGCGGGCCTGCCAAGGGGCCCAAAAGGAAGCAATCAGGAAGCGATGCTGATGCTGGATCTATTCATTTCTTATACAGTTATAGTATGTTGTAACCAGGATAAGCCATGAACATTGTTATAACATACTATATTTATTGTATAACATACTAAAGTTATAAGTATGTTATAGTTATCCCATGATAACTAAAAGGCGATGCCAAGGGGCGCCCAATTTTTTCACATCTAACCGTTAGCTGCACACCTGCTGCACCAGGCCGCAGGGGATCATCCCGCGATCCCCCATGGCGAACCAGCCTCAGGATGCTCGAAATTGGGATGTTCTCAACGGATTGATGGGAAAAATGTGGCAAAAAACCATGGAGTTGCCCAGCAGGCAAAAACACAAGGGGATTCCCAAAAACCAACCAATTCAAGGACTTTATATGACTTTATCCTACACATTTCACCTGGCAGTCGAACAGCGATGTGCGGAAATCGTCATGAGAACCAGGAAGACTGGCCGTGTGCCGGTGTGCCAATCTATGAACACTGCATGCACATGGTATCATGGTCCCCAAGGACTAATCAACCTCAAAAGCAAACCGAGAACAAAGCTGCAGTACGCGCTACAAAGTCGAGGCTGCGACCCATGGGAACCAGCGTGATTGCTTGACCGACCTCGGGTTTTCTTTCAGCAATTTAGGATATATCAGGAAAATTGTAAGAATCCAAGGCAGCCAATACCCCTGGGTCGGTGGGTGTGGGTAAAAATGTTCAACGCCCAAAAAAAACTGGATGTTTTCAGATCCGAAGAAAAATGACAAGCCTTGGATCCACCAGATCGGTGGTCTCCTGTGCACCCCCACGGGTGCCAACTGCACAGGCGTCACACAGCCGGAGGCCACGGGGGTTCCCACCTCACTGCCAAAGCCACTGAGGGCCACCTCAGCTGCAGGGAGATGGGTTTATCATCACTCAATGGGAATCTCCTATCAGTATATTTTGTTTGAGACTATTCATGTTATAGCGATTATATGTTTGAGGTTCTATGTGTATACTGTGCGCATATATATATATATAATCATATAAACTATGAAATTTGTTCGGTACATGCGGGAGGGCCGTGGGCGGGTACCATTTTTTGAAGGAGTATGTAATTGGTCCTTTTCTCGTTCCCACCCTAATTTGATCAATTAGGGGTTGGTATGTTGACGTGGGGTTAACATCATATCGTGTGTGTGTGTGTGACCTTTTGGAATCGGACCTTTGGAACAAGATACCCTGGCAGACTGTTGATGACCTTCTGGGAACTTGCATTGGTGTAGTTTCCCAGAAGTATCTCAACTCCAAGCAACCGTCGAGGCCGTTGGGGACGCAGAAGCGCTGTGCCACACCTCCCCAGTGATGATTGCAGGATCTTAGGAAACCAACTGGGGAATCGTCTGAATCCAAAAACGGTTGGCTTTCAAGCCTCTAACATGGACGTGGATGCAAAGTACAGAAAAAACCATCAGTTCTCCCGGCAAGAAACCCCAAACAATGCGCAGTTAGGATTCTAAAGGGGAAGGTGGAAAGGATTGTAAAGCATGGTGTTCATTCAAGGTGGTCTCTGGAAGAAGAGATACCAGGTTAGATTCTGCAAGCTCCCTTTGCGAAGATCACTGGAAGATCGTGCCCAAGATCCCCTTGACAGGTTTCTGTAGAAGCTGCTTTGCAAAATCCCTTTGGAAAGCTATCGGTACAAGGTGTCTATAAGAGATCTCCACAGAAGATCTCTGTAAGAGGTCTCCACAGAAGATCTCTGTACAAGATCTCTACAAGACGTCTCGTGGCAAGATCTCTGTACAAGCTCCCTATAAAAGGTCTCTTGGCAAGATCTCTGTACAAGATCCCTTGAATATCAAAATGAGATCCGTGCCACAACGAAGGGAATTTTACACACGTTGAAAGTGCCGAGAGGGCTTCGCGAGCGACCTCAAAGTTGGCACCGCACCACAGCGAGAGCGATCTGACAAGTCCAAAGTTAATGAGAGCGGTCTGACGAGAGGGTTGCGCGAGAGGTCTCCGGGCAACCGTTTCGTGCGAGACTTCCCTCAATAACGGAAGATGAAAGAGCTTTTGTGCTGCAAGGAAAACAAAAGTGCCACGCACATATGAGACCACCTCGAATGACCACCAGGCGTTAACCCCTGCCGTAAGAACCCCAAGTGTGGCCACACTGTTTGGGGACAAAGTTGGATCTGGGTCCACTGTAAAAGTCACAATAGAGTAAGTCAAACTTCTGTGGATCCGAAAAAAAATTGGGGAGATGTTGAGCATCCACCAGCAGTTGCTGGTGGCCAAGCCTGCGGTGGCGGCTCAAAGGGATTATCAAAGAGGTTTTCCGGCAGAGCCTGGACAGGATGGGAAACCCATCACTTAGATCAATACGGCTGATCAATACACTTAGATCAGCTCTGAAGTCCGCGCAATCATGACCCGTCCTCTTACACTTTTCCACCAATAGTTTCTTGTTGAGATTGGAGATCTCTCCAATCTCACCACCGACAGGGGCTCCCTGCAGAGTCAGCTGGATATTGGTCTTGATCCCTGATACTGTTCTCCAATGCGAGCCTGGTGAAGCCAAGATTGTCGCTGCTCAATTCTTGCTGTATTCATCATGAGTCCCATTTCTAGGTTCAGAAAGTACAAATTGCCAATTTCTTCCCACTTCAGTTTCGGCGGACGGCCTGCTTCGGAGCTTCTCATTCTCGGCGCGCAATGCCAGCAACTCCTGCACAGGTGCAGGGAAAGCAACAAGCTCTGAACTTCTCCATCAATGCAATGATCTAACAATTCTTACAGTATGGGATGGTTCTTGCGCGACCCATCTCCAATGAAATGCCCCTCATCAATGACTCTTGAGGGGTTATCTGTTATCTGGGTGCTTGAGCCGCCCATCTTGGGACCAGCATCCCATCCAGCTAAGTTGGATGAGTGGACAATCGCTCAAACCTGGTTATATTCACAGTGAATAGTGGTGAAATCCCCATATTCATGCTCAAACGCCCAACGTTTCCATTGAGTGCCAAACCAAAGAATAAACCATAGCAAAGTTTGCACTTTGTGAATTGTTTGGGTTCACCAAATGTGTATTGGTCAAAACCCTAATACCCTGAACCAAAGTAGCTAATTGCTTGTACTAGTTATGGATTGATGTTCATACCACGATTCCTGGTTAGACAAAATGTTCATCAATTAACCCGGCCCACTTATGTTGCTTCGGTCCCCACTCTTGACTCTTGCTGCTTGAATCTCAAGTTTTCTTGTTTTTCCCCAACCCCAAAATGTTTTTGCTCAAAGCCTATTTTTCTTGACCACACCGACCACACCCCGATTTTTCTGAAACTCTATCTCAACCCCCCAAATCCGAAAATTGACAATCCTATTTAAAATAAAAATAAAAATATTTATGTCAAAGAATGTTCCAAACCTGTCCATCTTTTGGGGGTTGCTACTTACGGGGGCTATTTTCACAATGATCCCATTCTCCCATTACAAATAAGCACCAGTAAGACCAAAAAGATTACCTATAGGTTATCCAACATATCCAAGTTACTATAGGTTGCCCTCTGGAAAACTAACATAACTATGGAAAATCACCATTTTTAATGTGTAAATCAACTAATCAATGGGGTTTTATGTTAGTAAATCCTCCATATTTTGATGGTTTTTACTGTTTTTACCACCCAAGTTACTATAGGTTACCGGGTAAACCGATAAGTTACCTATAGGTTCCCATCACCCAACGCCTCGTGCACGGCCGAGGACGTCGACACCGAGGATGCCCTGGAGGAGATCTGCGGCGACGCTTCCGTGGCCTAGGGAAATGGAGATTTTGAGGGGGTTGGAAATCGATTTACCAGGGATTACTACAGGTACGGGAAATCCCACTAAACTCACGTATTTATAGGAAAATCATGGAAAATCCAACTAAAATAGTTGTAATCACTATAGATTATGATTATAGTTATAGTTATTTATTTATTATATATCACTATTTTTTCGGGAATATCACTATTGTTGTAATCCCAAAAAAATAGAAACTATAGTTGTATCACTTTCGTGCGTGAAAATGACTCATTTGACTCTCAGGGTATAATAATATGTGCATAATATGTGCATGATATGTGTGATATGTGGTATATGAATGTATATAATATGTTTTTTATGATGCAGTTGATATGTGACATACATTCGTGATATTTTATTTATAACCTGTATTTAATATGTTTCTATTCTGGGAAGATGTTTTTGTTAGTTCATAAATTTGGAAAGAAAACAGACCAAATTTGAGGAGGTTACTGCAAACCATCATTCAGGAAGTCAGAGTGAGGTCTTCGGGAGGCCGCCAAATGCGTGCTTACAACTGAGTGATATAACTGTCGTGACCGATACGACCATACTATTTTTTTTGTTCCGTCATGTAACCAAGTCAGGGGTGGTGATGGCTCTCTATCGCATTCGAACTATCACTTTGACCCACTGGAGTGGTTGAGATCCCCGAAATGAGACAGAAATCACGACAGAAATCACTGCCTGATCGTCCTCGAAGCTTGGGCATTTGATCATCATCTTCTCCTTGGAACGTTCCGTGGAGCCAAGCACCCAAGTCATACCACGGAGCAATGTGGCCCATCAGCTGCGAACCAAGTTTCTGGTGTCACCAATTCAGCAATGGGACCTAATGTCCCCGCTTCCCGAAGCAAGAGATCATTGTGCCGCTTGGAGGGCCTAGGTTTCTTTGGCGTGCCATGCTCTTATCCAAACTAAAAATATTGCTGAAAATAAAGAAATTGATATATAGCTAGGCTATAATGTTATCAATGTATGTCAATGTACTATATTACTATATAACGATATATAACATTAAGAGTATTTTTTGAAAAAATGTGCAGGCATTCATGGTCCAAATGTGGAAAACTCCACGCATCACTCATTCATCCGAAGTATGGTTTGCCAGCTGCAGATGTGGTGCGACTCACTACAACGGTGGAAGCTGCACCGCAAAACAGGACTTCCAAACCCCTAAAGAATTTGCTAAAACATGGGTCTAACATGGTTGAACATTGTTTTAGTGATCCTTTACTCTCCTTCAAACACCAACACGCGAAACTATTTCAGATTGATTCGCTGCGTTGATTTAAGGAAACATTTAGGGGAAACCATGGTCTTTCCTACAAAATGTATGGGTTTCCGGACGATTTTTCGATTCCTGGATTGATCAACAGAAACAGAATGAAGCATCGTTTTGCCAAGGACATCTCTACTCATAGGCCCAACTGCTGAGGCGCAATGAAAAGTGTAGGTCTTCTGTCGCCCTGGAAGCCCAAAAAAACCTATGGGGGTGCCCTTCAAACTGGGCAATCGCTGCATGTTTTCTCCTTGCTCAAGCGTCGGCGCCAACATGTTGAAAGAGAAATGGCTCATTGGCTTTGCTTTCTACTTCCTGCACCTGTGACAAGGTCAGCAATTCACTGCCCATTTTCAGTGCAATGTTGTCATAGAGGGCTTTGGTTCTGAACTGGAAGCTTCTGTGCTTCCCACCCTCTGAATCCTCCTTCGATAACTACCACTCTTTGGATAGGCTGACAAGTCTTTCTGTAATGATTTGCCACCGTGGGTGCCCTGTGGGCAGAGTATCGGTTTGCCTTTAAATTCGGCACACCACGCCTTCAAGAATTCCAAAGCTGGAATCGGACGGGCGCCTGCAATTGTGCCAGCGGCCCTGTCCTCACCACGGAGATCGATCACCATAATGCTTTGTTGGTTCCTTGGCAATGCCACGAAAATCCCAGGTCCCTTTCAAAAAGCCTACATGAAAACAGTGCGCGCAACAAGTACACCTCAATACAAAGAAAAGATAAGGGGCAAAAAGTGAACCAACCAAAAAGCTCGAAAAGGTTCCAGTCCCACATTGATTTGGAAGGCTTGATGGTCTCAACCCCTTGTTGGTGGGCACTCGTCCCTCGATCAAAGGGTTGTCTTTTTCCGCTTGTGGGGCCCCAACGTTCCCCGCCACCACCTTGGGCAACGCATTGGCACCAGGAGTGCTCTGAACAGATCTTTGCTGTTTCAACGGCGCGGCATAGATCCAGCGTGGCGCTGGGGGTTGCACAACCGGAGGCCGAACCACCGGCCCCACAGGAACTGTCATGTGCTGGACGGGACTCCGCACATACGTCACTGGATTCCCCCGAGCCATTGGGACTTGCCTCGGCCCATGGGCTGCAGGAGTCTGCACCCAAGACGTTGGCTGTGCCATCTGCATTGGACTATCAGGCCGCCAAGCGGATACGAATATCCTCAGGGGTTGATTCTATCAAGCAGAAATGGCTGCATCATCTGCATGTTTCCTGAGAGTGCTGCACGCTGTGAGTTTAGGCAGGATGGTTTCACATCCATGACGTGATCCTTCTACTTACTGGTTTACTGGTTGATTGATAGGGGTTCTCCATTGTATGAATATTACATCAGTCAGTAAGATAAGGTATAACCCCCAACCATCATTCATCAATCCTATCTGGCGTCTTGCAGACTAAATCTACCTTGAAGGCTGTAGTAGCCCGTGTCCATATTTCCAGTAAGCATCATCGACAACAAAATACAGTGCACAAAAACAATGTTTGAAGTTCAGCAACTAACCCCACATCTACAGTTGAAACAAGTTAAAACCATCAACCACCATAACCACCAGAGATTTTCTGATCAATCAAACCCATAAATTAACCACACATGGGACCACCATAAACCATCTATAAACCACCCATGTTGAGGTTCGCCATGCTGGTCCCAGTGGCACCAGTTGAAGTTCGCGCTCGATGGCTTCGTTCATCTGAGGTGAGCTTCGGCCACCCCAGGCCAAGCGCTGACCACGCCAGCGAAGCAACGCCTCGTTGCTGGGATGGCTGCTGTAAGCCATAAATTGGAGGACCCCAAGACCCCAATAGCTGCTAATGCTTGATTTCATGGAAAACCCCAAAAAAAATGGATGACAAAAATGGGGTATATATCCCTATTTTAGGAAACCTCCGACTTTTCGTACTGTTGTTTTTGTAGTCGACCAACTTCTCTGCTGGCCTGGAGCAGATGCTTCATCTTCCGCATCTTCACGGAAGATCCTTCCTCCGTAAGGTAGGCGAAGCTGGCCTGGGACGATATTTGGATATGATCAGATAAATCAGCAGGAATCCTCATCAAACTCTGGATTTGCAATGTATCAGAACTATGGGTCTGTCTTAATATGATACGGTTAAAAGGGGATACCCCGAAACTATGATCGTTGAATCATGTGGAAAATGATGATTTAACATGAGATAACCAAAAAAAAACTCTAATTGTGGGGTACCCCCATTTTCAGATAGTTAAATTTCATAGCTAAGTATGTGTGTGTATATATATATATACACACGTGTTCCCCTTTTAAATGACCATTTGAGGGTATCCCCCATTCCCAGGGTCAACCACCCCGGCCAGCCGGCTCCGGCCTCATCAAAGGTGCTGTGCCAATGACGCTGCAGCAGCGGCTTCAACTGAGACACCAAGATGGCTTTCTGACCCTCCTGGCTGTTGGGTGGATTATATAGATGGGAAAAAAACTGTTTTTGTTGGGATTATATACCATCATATACCATCATATACCATCATATACCATCATATACCATCATATACCATCATATGCCATCATATGCCATCTATATTGTTGAATGATGGTTGAATGATGATTTTAGTGAGATGACCCTCCGGTAATTTGACATGGAACAGAAACACATGTTTTGCAGTGGTGAATTCATCTATAAATGCTCCATGTTCGCTAGCTATGTTGGTTTACCAGAGGGTAATGTTAGTAATGCAATAGTAAATCATCCATATTTTGATGGTTTATACCACGCAGACAAAAATGGTAAATGTGGGATGATGAGACTGATGAGACTATTGTTTTACCAACATTCTGGATTGCGTGACTATATATATGTATATTAAAGTATGAATTAAAGTAAATCTAAATATGTTTATAATATACATACATTTATATATATATATTATATTGGTCACGGTCCACAGCTTAATTACATAAGCCCATTATGAGAAGCTTGGAAAATTTGAGGACATCCCGTCCTCATCCACCGTCCCGTGCTCACGCAAGATTTTGCAAAGCACCTGCCGAAGAACGCTGGGGATGGTTTCAACCGTTGTTACCCTCTGGTAAACTAACATAGCTATGGAAAATCACCATTTTCAATGGGTAAATCCACTATAAATGGCCATTTTCAATAGCTTTTTGTATGTTTACCAGAGGGTACTGGTTGCAAATGGAGGTCGTAATACATCACTGAAAAACCGAACAGTGGAACATCTGTGCGGGAAGACTCGCCTGATAAAGGGAGGGCCAGCTAGCTGCACTTCCTGGTTTTGGGGCCTTGGTGACGGCGACACAGTACAGTTTTTTATTACCAAAGGGGACAGTACCAATTCTCAAAGTACTAGTGTCATGATGTCAATGATGTCTCATGTATAATCCGGGGTTGGCACTAAATGCCCTCAATACCGTCATCTGATGGAATTTGGTAAAGAAGATTGCTCGTAGCCAAACTTCTTTTGAATACTTGGCAAAGGACTTCTTTTCTGCAAAGGGCAACAACTGAGCATAGAACCCAGTGACCCGTGGAGGTTGCACAACGTACCACTGAGTGCGTGTAAATCATTACTCCCATCCCACTAATGTTAAACACCCCCCATACACTACGGTTTACTAAGGGATTTAGACGTATGTGGGACCATTTTGGGTGTGTCAATAGTAGAGGGATGAGATTATTGATTTCAGGGATGTATCATGCAAACACACCGGAATTTCTCCTATCCTCTGACAAGCTGATTCAAAGTCTTCGTGTATCCAGGTCTGTCCTTAAACTGTGCCATACCCACTTTGAATTGCAATCCGAATAGGGAAAATGATAATGTAATGTAATTAATGATGATTAGCCCACATAAACTCCATGGATCTTGGTGTTTTGCCGCGAGTTTTTTGCACCATGTTTGGGACGTTGACGCAGCCTGCGATGACGTGTATACCCAGCGGCCAATGCCACGGAATCCTCCACCGCCACCACGGGGTTGTCCCCATCTTCACTGTCCACGATGCGAAGCACCTGGCAATATTAAATATATCATGTAATATACTATGATAGTATACTATGCGTGTAATATTGCAAATACCTACATGATGTGGACCAATATGAAGCGCCAACATGCGCCAACTTGGTTTTTGCACACATGACCAATTCCACCCGCTCGGTCAGCCGAGAAAAGGTGCCTCCCATAGGAGGGTGGTGGTGGCAGCCAGCGGTGAGGCATGGCCCAAGGCATTCAAGTCTAAGCGTGTATTGAAGCGCTCCTGCCACAGGAAGCTGCGAAGACTGGAAAATGATGTCCAAAGCACCTAGAGTTTAAGCTCGAAATCTCTGAGATGAGGATTCGGAATGATTCGGATATTGATTGTTTTACCAGCAAAATGGATTATGGATTGCCTTGAACCGTTCTTGACCTGACAACTCCGTGTTGCACATTGGTGAACCGAAACAACAGTGAGAATGCGATGACAGGAACAGTTGGATCCACATTTGGGATTCAAATCTGGTTTGACTCAAACCCACAGAGATTCCACAGAGATTCCACAGAGATTCCAGAGAAAGCATTGCAATAACTCAACAACTGTTGTGCTTTGCTTTTACTCTTGCAGCCTTCCTGGCCAACAGCATGGAATTTCCACCTGGTCTGCCAAAAGCAAGTCTTGCTGCACATCTTCACTAACTGTCTCAAAGGTCAATAAAAGTCTCAGATCGGTAGATCCCAAATCCCTCGGAATCCCTGGTCCCTCCTCGTACTTTTGCAAGAGCGTTTTCCACTGTACACCCCCAATCGCAGCAGCCGGGAAGCATTGCAGCAAGTCTGACAATTGCTGAGCCACCTCAGGATTCGTTGGGAAAGTTGGAGGCGGGAACTCCCTTTTGGTCTGTTGTTTTGGCATCGTACAAATGAGGTTAGGAGTATAGTTGGTGAAAGAAGCAAAGTCTGCTTCTGCTGATGCTAGCTGTACAGTAGAGATTATCGAAAACGTATTCATGTGGGTTCATGGCGGGCCCCCTATCCAGGCCAGTTCGCAGCCACACGCTTCAGATTGGAAGGGAAAAACACCAGGACGTGAAAGGATGATGCAATACGATGCGATGTTCAGACCGGCACCCGCTACTGCCATCTTCACAGCTGAGCTGCAGTCGCGGGGGACGGAGAGAGGACGGTGCGTGCCATCGTCTCTAATCTTCTTCGCTGCTCGACTTTCAATTGTTGTGTTCAGGTCAGGCCCAAACACAGGAGAAAGAAACATCGGATGATGGCGGTAGCCTTTGACATTCAATAGTGATCCAATGGAGGTTTGGTTGGCAGCATCCGTTGCCAGCTAGACATGTTGTTGCTTCAGTGTCACGGGGGGAACCGGTTCAGCAGCTGAGTCTCAGAGCAGCAAGAAGCGCGATGGGAATCTCTCACTGGCTGGCTCTCGAATAATATGACCCAGCAATGGAAAATGCCTATTTATAGCTAATTTGCCCAGTAAAATCACAGTTGACCCGAACCGTTCATACGTGATGATTGCAAAATATTGCAAAGTCTGGAGATTGTAGTGAACAAAGGCCAACCGTCGTGCGGCACCACAATGAAAACAAACTCAGGCATGTTGAATCAGAAAGTCAGGAGTGGAGTGGACTTTGCCGCCCAGATCCGCAGCCCAAAGGTCCAGGGGGAACCATGTTGTTTTAATCACCATTAATCACCATTAACCACCATTAAATCACCATTAAATCACCATTAAATCACCATTAAATCCGAATCCTTTTTTTTCAATGCCAGAGGCAGCGGCTACGCTTTTCACCATGGATTAAAAAGTTTTGATGCACTGCACCAAGACGTAGAGCAGGCCATTCACCTCGGAGCTTTCCCGGAAGATGTGCCGCTTGGGTTGCGCAATGACCGAGAGATACAGCAAATCTGCACTATCCTTTGATGAAACCAGGTAAAACTTCATGTCCGTTCCGACAAGGTCACACTTTGCCATTTGGATATGGATCCAAACCCTATTTAATTGCCTGTTCTGTCACACCAAAATGATTTTTCAATGGTCCCCTTGACCTGTTTGCCATTTCTGAAGATTGTTGATGGTGATGCTTAGGTCCCTAGGCCCTAGTGTTTGATGGTTGGGTCTCCATTTTGCACACCCGAACAGACCAAAGCCATCCCCGCCCCTGGGCCCTTGGGTTTCCCTGCCACCAAAGCACCAACCACCATGGACCAGTCTGCACAGGCAGAAATGACTAGCAAGATCAGCACCGGCGCCTCGAGAGACTGTAGCTAGACATGCCATGGCCAGGTTGCATGTCAAAAGCTGCGAAACCCATCCAAGAAAATGACCAGTTTTTCAACCATACCCACAGTCTATTGAAATCTTTCAAAGCAGTACGTTGATTGATGTCAGGTGTCGCTCCATTTCCTCACGGTTTAGCTGCAGTGAATCCTTACCACTGCACTTTGCAATGCCGAAACAGCTGGCGCCGAAGTGACATGAATCACATGAAGCCTGCGTATATTGGAAGAAAAATGTTCTTAGGAACAATCCATCTGCCTGCTCCAAAAGTGACCAACGCATCATCCCTGCCTTCAGAGCGCACAAAAGCCATGCACCCGGACGGCCACGCGGCACCGTGTAAAGCCGTGGTAGGTCGGGCCACCTTCACCGGGAAAACACTCTCATCCAACTTGCATTTTTTCTGGGTTTGGTTCGCTATATATAATAATGTGCATTTCCTGTTACACCTGATTTTGCAGCTCATGCCACATCATTGTCTTGACATGTCCCGAGAATCTCTTGCCTCATTTTGAGGCGCATAAAGGCAGCCAGCTGCCACCAGTACACCACCACATGCAGGAGGGTGCTCAACCTCAGGACCGGGACATTTCCACCATCTCTCATCCAGTTGCGCAGTTTTCCAACTTTTGGTTCAATCAACTGCACCAAGCACAGGCGACTGGCAATGCAGCAACCCAACACACCCGTTGGGCCACTGGATCCACCAGACTTTTTTCTCACTCGGAACTGTCCTCGCCGTCGCGGTTTTCAACGGGACTCAGAGACAGCAGCTGCTTCAAACAGCTGTGGATCTCTTCCTGAGGACGGCTTTGCCAGAAATTGGACCCCAACAATATGGGATGGTTAAAGACTAAACTCCAGGAAATACCTCATTTGGTGGGTCCAGTGGTGTCTCACATTGAAAGTATGTAAGCACCAAAGCATGTCAGATTAGCCACCCAAGCCGAAAACAGCTGACTTTCCTGCAGGGATGCACCATTTAGGTGTGAGGCTAAGGATAAGGACAGAAAATCAATTGAATGGGACCCCTTTTCAGGAGCTGAACTGTTCACAAAACCGCAGAGGTGGGCAAGGTCCCAGCCAAATTCTTTCAGACCAGTTGCCACGGTTTGTCTTCGAAGCAACACGTGGTTGTCATCGCCTAATGTGTGGCAATTGTCGCCCCCCTGGGAACTCATTCTTCAGAATGGGCCCGTTTCACATCATGGTAAAAGCACCCATGGGATGGTCATCCCAGCAACAGGCGTATTCAGCGTCCTCAACCGAAATATTTCTACAACATACGACATGTATCTACATGTACAACCACTATTAACCACTACTTGTCTGAGTGTGCAGGGAAAGTATACTCTCCAGTCTCCCACCAACAAATCTGGCTAACGGGAAACAGGGAAACTCTCATACATAAATGGGTAGGGCTCAAAACCTGGAAACCGCTTTTTCACACCCAGGTAGTGCCCCACCTCCATTGTCCTGATGCATCCCCAATTCACTGAGGCGCATAATATACTGTATACGCGGCAAGTATATGAATATACAGGCCTTCGTAATGTGATGTGATGTAATGTAATATCATGTTTATTTTCATGTACCTGATATACATAGCTGTCATCATATGTATATATATATATATGTATACTAGTCGATTGTGTATATATATATATAGATATGTGTGTGTGTGTATGTGTGTGGGCGCGCTTTTTGAGCTCCGGGCAGAGGTGGAGTTCGCACCCAGCAGCGCTCAACACAGCCACTTGCGACTCAGGGCAGAAGCCGTCCTGGACGCCGTGCGACGCTGCGACCGGGGACCGGGAATCGCGGGGCTGCGTTGATGATGTAGGCCCAACGTGCATTTTTCATTATTTTTCCAATTCAAGGTGTCTGAAGGATGTCAGGATGTCCATAGACTTGCCATTTTTATGGGGAAAATGATGATAAACCATTGGAGTGTATATACCTATTTTCAGACAAACCCATATGATTCAGGTCACTTCAGGGATATTGTCGCTGTTGAAGGGAAAAACATTTGGAGAACTCCCAAAGCTGGCTTTGGTATTACGGGAATGAAGATACAGTGGGCTATGGCTATAGTGTTTTTGTCCATCCATCTATTGAACTCGTGAAGCAGTTGACCTTGCAGTGACTGCCAAATGACCAAGTGATTTAGCGCTCTGTGTAATTTGGAAGCCTTCAATCTGAAAAGTTTGGTGGGTACTGTAGATGCAGCATAATTCCCGCCAAGTACCTGCCGCAGCGATTGATAACTTTTTAGCTGACTCAAGTCAAAGAGTCTAAGATTCAAGAAATGACGGAAGTAAATCCCGTGCGCAGTGCCCAACCCAAACCCCCTAAGGCAGTCATGGTGAGCATGAAAGACATGGACGGGTGCTAGAGCAGAAGGGGCCGGAAACCTTGCGACAGTGGCAATCGGTGCTGGAGACCATCCATGGATTATCATGTTCCACATGTTCGAACGGCCGTAAAATGGGGATTCCCCCCAGATCACTTCCAACAGCAGAGACCACAGCCTCGGGAGAGCCCTGCAGGCAACCTGGGTGGGATGAAAACGGGACAACCCAGGGAATCATGATCCCATGACCTTTAAAGGAGAGGATTCTAGAGTCGAGTTCATGTCAAGCAGAGGACTTTTTTCTGTATCACAGCATTGTGGGATCTCTTGGTTGGAACCTGCTCGTGCAACAAAGTGTTGTGCCAGGTAAATTTCGATCCAAGAGTGTCCACTTCGAAATGTTCCAAGCCAGTTCCCACTTGTGACCAGGTGATCCCAAGCGGGGGGTGGGATCACCCCACTTGCAACTAGAATTGGCCATCCCTCTACTGGTTTTTCTGCGGGATTCAATATGGACTGTAATCATCCTTCTGAAAAAACAAATAGAGTACGACGTACGAAACCTCACAACTGGCCATCAACCGCATTGATTCTGGAGACTATACACAAACAACGAGTTTTTACCATCCAATACTGGGGGGTCCTATAAAATGTTCCAACCAATTTTGGGAAACCATCAAGAGCCAGCAGTTTGGGGCGCCAGAGCTTCCAAGTGGCACATGCCATGGCTTTCACTGTGGGCGCCAGCAGCAACGTGGGACCGCGCCAACGACGTTCTGCCAATAACCAAAGCGCCTGAAAAGGCGTCATGGCTGCATCGTGGTATGAGATGATCGTCTCGGTCCGTGGATTTAGCTAAATGATCACATGCGGTAACATACCATAAGTATCCATAAGTATCCATAATTATGATCATTTCAAACCAGTACTATGGTTTACTATGTGATGTGTTTGTATGTGTTTGTCGTATTCAAATCATCCGAAACGAGGCCACCATACGTCATACGTTGAATTCACGTACAGGCCCGCTGGGCCAAAACTACTCACTCATGATGGGATGCAATTTTATGCAATTTTTACAAAGTCTTGCTCTAGGTTTCAGAGAACTTGATCCCAACTCGCAGTTTCACAGCCCAGGTACCAGTCCACCACCCCACGAGAACGCCAGAATGACCTTTTCGGAATCTGCGACTCAAATGAAGTTGAGATGGACAATCTAAAGGGATGGGAAACTGACTATTTTGCTTGGTTCGAATATGACTAACTGCAGAGGTTGTTGCAGATTTGGATAGAACCCCAAAAGATGCAAATCTATCAGGGTGTCCAGGTGTCCATTCAAGTTCCGGGGAATTACATCCTTTGCCACCAACACCCTGCCACAAGTGAATAGTTTGACAATTGACAATGCAACTCACTTATCCACAATCCCTTCAAAGAAGATGCTGGTGTCTGTGCTTTTCCTGATTGCTTCACTCCTTCTTGGCAAGTGATGCGGTATACCCAACAATAGACCCTTGATGTTCATCACTTGGAAGTTCTACAAACAAATGGTGCGCATTTTGTTTTTGGGTTTCCCACATCAACATCATTGACTTCAGCCCTCCACCAACGGTTGGTGCTCCAGACATCTGGTTGAAAGTCATTGATGGCCCGGCTGATCGTCCATAGACCGTCTTTGATGGAGAACCACACCTGATGGGGCTTTGGGGAATGGTTGGGCCTCATCTTCATATTTTCAACAAGCTGATCCTTGCGCGGGTCCAATGGCTTGATAGAAGTGGCTGTCGACATAAAACTGGGGGCCCCCATTCTTGGCCTATGGGTCCACGGATACAGCACGTCGACATGTCTAGAAAAAAGAAAAACACACACTTTATCAAAATAACACACAACATATTCAGTAAATAATGGTACCATGGTATCGCTGCACGCCGTATTGGCATGTCGACGATACTTTTTGGCATCGCGAAAACACATTTTGACATCGAAGGAGGCATGTTTTTCTATCACGAAACGTCGTCTTATTGACATGACACCTTTTGCTGTTTGAAACAACCCCTTTGCATGTTGACGGTCGTTTTTGCATCTTGACAAGACGTATCCCAAAATCCACTGGAACATCATCATATTCCCCCTTTGTGCATGGACATAGACTAGGCTTTTTGAGACAAACCCATGTCAGATTGCTGGCTGTATTACATCATTTCTATCTAATTATCTCCTGTTCTCTCCATCATCCCCATTACATCCCACATCATATTGTTAATTACATCACTCTATCTCAAACGTATATGGTATATCCCCGGAAAATCCCAGTATATAAATCTCCTATATATATATATTATACATATTTATATATATATTATACATGTGTGTGTGTGTGTCTGTGTTAGAATGTACTATTATCATACTACAGTATATCCCCATAAATTAGGAGACAACCCATAATCTGATAAATATATATATATATATTGTAGGTATTCCAATCATATATGTAAAATTATGTAAATATATACAGATATTGGACCTTGGAATCATTCTCATCATATCCCCCCATGCCGCGATCCGCGATCCAAGCGACCAAGCCGGCCACGCAGAGCCGCAAGAGGAGAGGAATCGCCAGCAGCGCTGCCTGAGTAGCAATGTTGTAATACTGAATGTTATAGTTTTACAATATGATATAACATTACAGTATTATGGATGTATCTCATACATATCTATATATGTACATGTGTATATATATATAGACAAGACACATATAAATATATATATAAATAGATATACATATTGTTCTATTTGTCAAAATGAAACCTCACCCAAATTTGACAAAACATGTGGTACATGACCACCCTCTAATGTTTCGACTGGTTCCCTTTGCTCCTTGGTTTCATCCATTCAGTGGGCGCACCAGCCGAACCAGCCATGACATCGTGCCCTCGATTCCAGCTGGCCATTCACCAGACGCCACCATCGGAAGCAGCCAGAAGATGACCTGAAGCAGATCCACATGTCCAAAGATGGACTAAATTAAATCAATGTTCAAGTCAAACTCTCAGACTTGATGAAGACGCAAACAAAAAAACAAGAGAAAAAGGTGGAGATCGCCGCATTGCAGCGCCAAATTCCTGTATGATGTACAGTACCAAAAAAGACACCAGGCTATCAAGCTTTGCGTCAAGCGGCCACCAGCAACAGTGGACAGAATGGGTTCAAACACCATCTACCTCAGTTGAAACAGTGGGAAAGTGTGGGAAAATGTGGAAAAAACAACGATAAATGGACGTGTATAGCTGTCCTTCCTATAAGCGTGCGCGATCTGCGCTTGCCGTTTATTTCACCGAACGAAAGTCTCGGGCGCAGGTCAAGCTGGAACAGCGCTATCACTCCTCCCTACCAGAAATGTTTCAAGGAAAAAAAACACAAAACCAAATAGTAGGCATGTATGTGTGTGTATATTATATTATATTATAGTGTATTGTATTGTATTATATTATATTATATTGTATTATATTATATTATATATTATATTATATTATATATTATATCATATATTATATCATATCATATCATATCATATTATATTATATTATATTACATTATATTATATTACATTATATTATATATTATATTATATATTATATTATATGTTATATTATATATTATATTATATATTATATATTATATTATATTATATATTATATATTATATTATATATTATATTATATATTATATTATATATTATATTATATATTATATTATATATTTTATTATATATTATATTATATATTATATTAAATTACATATTATATATTATATATTATATATTATATATTATATATTATATATTATATATTATATATTATATATTATATTATATTATATATTATATTATAATATATATATATAATATATATCAAGTATTATCAAGTATATTATTCCTCATATTTGTCCAATCTTCCCTGAATCTTCTCCGCTGTCCAGTGGCAACCGGAGGGCGGCATCGGAATCGTCGGCTCCAGGAATTCCACGCGATCCATGCGCGCTCGCAATGCATCCAGGGGTCCAGGGCTCCAGCCCCCCACGACCTCAAGACGCTCAAGACGGCTCGGGAAATGGGGCTGATTTCTACAAGCCACGGGCTCGGCAAAATCGGCAAAATCTGAGAATATTATGAATGATGGAGATGATAGCAGATAATGGAAGAAAATGGGGGAGAATAGGAGATAAGAGGAGAATAGGAGATAAGAGGAGAATAGGAGAGAATAGGAGACAATAGGGATCATAGGAGACAGGAGGAGAAAATGGGAGATAATAGGAGTGGGATGGTTTGTGGCGGTTTGTGAGTGTGGCTTTGCCACACCATTTGTCAACAACCTGAAGGCGGTATCACTCATAGTACATGAGGCAACCCAAAGAAATTGCTGAGACGCAAGGATTGCTGGGCGGAACCCCATCGGAAATGGGGGAACATCATCAGCGAATGCCCAACAGTTGGGGCATCCTGAGTTGAGCACCAGCACACGCCGTGCCCGCTCCCGCTCATACTGCGCCATCACCATCACAGGGGCAACATCTTAAGGGCAGCTGTTGCATTCAAGCCTATTGGACAGCTGGCAATGTCTAGATGCGCGATGCTTTCATTGACAAATTGAGAACGCGATAGTTGAACCATGGATCCGCATCTGTTGTTTTTCTGATGGCCTGCACCATGTTTCCTCCTATTGGCTCAAGGTATTCTTGGCCATCAATTAGTCACATGTCTGACTCAAGCCAAAGACTGTTTCAAAGCTGTGCCGGCTTACTCTAGACTCTAGATAGTGCATCGTCTGACATTGGATCCGTTTGACACCAAAGGTTGAGACCCACATCATTTCCCACAAATGTTCAGCAATTCAGAGATCAGAACTCTAGGCATCTGCAGTATCAGTATCCCACGGCATCCCCTGCCCAACATGGCCAAGATTTTAATGAGTCCGAACCCCATCAGCTCCCATTCCCTCCTGAGCTTACCACTGCACCAAGTAATCCTAGGTTTTTCATCAAAGGGAACAACAACCGAGCCGCAAACCTTTAGCCACGTTCGAAGATGCAGCTGGTGTTGATTCGTTCTTCTCCAAGTCAAGCTGCAAAGCTCAGAAGTAGCAAAAACAGCTGGATGGCCGTCATCACAAGCAGCGCCACGATTGGGGCTCCTGGTGCTGGATGGCACTGGCTTGCTTTCCACCAAGCTGCACTCTACATCTGATGCCAGCACAGATAGATATGTCTGTAATCGGAAAGAAAGCCAACTATAGCACCCATGATGTCCGCAAGTGTATCCATCCCCAGGAACAGGCGCACACATTACATATGTATATATATATATATATGTGAAAAGAGACTGTACCTATTCTTTTTCTGATATGAAACAGATTCTCAAGTATTCCCACACCCCACATCTCAATATTCCCCCCCAGTCCTGTGGACAGCTCTTTCCTAAAGAAGCTCGGAAGCAGTTGTGGAGCATCAGGAGAACTCCCTCCTCTGCGATGTTCCAATAAGCCAGAGGTTGTGTGCTCATGTTTCCATGTGTTTCAATAACCAAATAGATATGTCACATATGTCCACTCTGCTGTCAATGGTGCCATCCCAAGCCCCGCACCGAATGCTTGCACTAGGCGGCTCACCACTGCCTGGAGGCTATCGTGAGATGCCCCAAACTCAATGGCTTGGAGCCACACTTTGTGAATTTCCAACTTCCGCAACTTTGGGACAAACCTTGTCCACAAGACAAATGGATAGAAATGGATAGAAATGGGTAGAAATGCTGTATCCCCCAAATTCCACGTAAATCCCATGGAAATCCACCATTTCTGGACGAAGCCGCGTGAATTTCTGAGGCGCCCTGCCAGTTCAGAGGTGTAGAGCAAGGAATTGGACAAGGCTGCGGAGACGCAAACCCAAATCCCCAGCCTGGATTGGAACGAAAGCTGCACGCCTTGTCTTCCCAACTCAAATCCAACCGGAAAATCCATGCAGATTGGAAAAAACTTGGAAGCCCCAACATCCACCATTAAAATCCATTAAAGATTAAGATGATGCTTTTCTTCTAAGTTTTCTGTTCATCAAAATGGTGCTCCATTTCACCCCGCATGGGGTTGCCGAGACTCGGCGCCCAAAGGCGTCGGTACGCGAGGCTGAGATAGCCATCCTGCCAGGCACCATCGTGGCCAAGCGCTTGGAAGGTGCAAAGGACATAGACCACCTGAAATTGCCAAAAGTATCCAAAAGCATCAATTGTGATGATTATAATATACTATAATGATTATGATGATTGTAATGATTATAGTGAATATTAAAAAGAAATGTTGATTCTAATGATTATATAATTACATGTTGACTGGCCACATTGATTTTATGGTGATTGCCAATCACTATAAGTCATTATAATGTCATCAGTTTTTACTGATTATCATGTCCGTAACACTAGTATCATGACATTCTAATAATTGCAATGACATATGATAATGATTGTAATGACATTATAGCAATTACAAATCACTGCGATAATTATATTGCATATTACCCTGTTGACCATTTTCCCAGCCAAATCAATCGATGGTTTCACAGCCCTGGGGTTTGGTTTCCCTCATTCCAAGGAATTAATTATCGTCCCAAAATAGTGCACAATAATTGATCATGTTGAAATCTTCATTTATATAAGTTATCTGAAAGAGAATAGCATGGATTCTTTCAATCCAAAGAACGAATATTGAATAGAATAAATAGAATGTGGGAAGAAACTGGCACCCCAAAATCCAATGGTTTTAAGTTTAAAGTCATGGTGTCCCTGTTGTTTGACTGCCAGTGTGTCATATGGGTGGTAAATCCCCCGTTTCTGGGCTGAAAAATTGTGAAAATCACTCATAAAAATCGCTGCTTAAAATCCCATATCCTCAAAAAATGGTATCCAATGTTGCTATCCCCGTTATATTCCACACAAAGATCGTCAGAATCGTGTTCATCCAGTATATCCCCATGATATCACCATGATCGCCTCACAAAATGGCCAATGTTTTTTTTTGTTAGCCCGTTAGCCCATGTTTTTTTTCCAATTTTCCAATAAAAGTCCCTAAAAATCCCTAAGTTCACCATCCACGGCACAAACGCCGCGAGCGCCGCCCACAGCAGGCCATGGACCAAGTCTTTGGGCCCTGCCACGTCCTGGAAAATCCCCATGTGATGGTCCCGTGGTCGCATTGGAAACCCCGATAGCCACGAAACCAAGCTTAACCACGAAAAACCTGTAGCATCCTGTAGCCACGTAATGTTGTGAAATGTTGTTGTTTCTTCTTCTTTAGTGTTCCTTTTTTTGTTTCTCCCTTTTCTATTTGTTTGTCCTTCTTTACTGTTCTTTCTTTTTTTCTCTTTTTTTTGTTTTATATCCTTCTTTACTGTTCATTGTTGCTTTCCTTTTTTATTATGTTTCCAATCCATTATATAAATTATATACAGTCTATACTCCACAGATGATGTTCACATTACTAAGATGTCCATTTGGTTCGATTGATGAAACCGAACGATAATTCAAAATTATGTATTGTAGATCTTTGTTGTCATAACATGTTAAGCAAATGCCACAATATGACCATTTGCCATAATTAATGGTACACAATTCATATAAATCACATCCTTCGAGACCTATCAGAGATGGAAAACTCAGCACCCACGTAAATCCACCTGAAGGCGCCCCAATCCATGTCTTGGATCCCCCTATTCTTGCACCGCACTCCTCCGCAAGGTTACCAAAAGAGTCCCAGCCGGTGTTCAGCCAGATCAAAGATGATAGGAAGAGGTTCAGGTCCTGCCATGGACCATAGAGAGAGATCCAAGTGGCAAAATGACAAGAAAGCTACCCACATTTTTTTGTTAAGTGTTGCATCAACAATACAGCGTATGGATGCATTTCGATATATTCATTCAACTTTCACTCATGCCCAACCGCCCAAATCGGTGCGTTTCGAAGTGAGGCTTGACGTTGAACCACACTTCGATTAGGTAGCCAAGTTTGCCAGCTCCTCTGATCCTCAAATTGCGGACTTCCAACCTTTGACTTACAACCCCATCCCCGCCTTCGTAGTTTTCATTTGACTGTCAAAGGTATGATCCCAAGCCAGTCCAAAGTGCGGTGCTGACCATGGCAAAGCCACCACGAACGGCAACCTCTGGGCCCCGAAGGTAGATTCACGGCATGTGAATCTAAATCAGTTACTTTATATATAGGGTCTTTGCTATACCCATTTTGACCAAAATGTGGGACATGTTCACCCTTTCGGCCTGAGATGTTCCCACCCTACATTCCACCAGGCCCAGAAACATAACCAGCATCAGCACAACCATGAAGACTTCAGCTGCCATGTCCAAGGCCATCAAGTTCACAGCTAGGCCCAGGGCAATGGCAAGCAAAGGGGCCAGCCTGGGCAGCCAAGCTGCCACCTTGCCGGTCAATGACTCTGGTGAAGCCATCTGGGCTCCCAGAAAGAATCTGGCAAGCAGATACTGGGTGGAAAGCTCGTATGTATTGTATATCCTTACATATGGACAATGGACATAGATACATGTTTTATTATGTTTCTAGAATCTAAAATCACCAACCCAACCAACCCAATGAGCATGGTACCAAGCCAAATACCTAGCCAAATACCTTGGCAACCGTGGTGATTAAACTGAGCAATCCAACCATGCCTCGTAGCCCGCCGACTGGGCATAGCCAACAATCACCGTGGTGTAGGTAGCAAGGTCGACCACTTGGTACCTTAGCCACCAAAAAACGATTTTTTGATCAAAAGCACCTCACCAACCAACTAGCAACTACCAACATTGCCGGCTGCCCCCGCCAAAAAAGTTCTCGGTCTTCAATAAGATCCTCTGAAGATTTCCCAATCAGATTCTGCTGCTCTCCCCATTTTGAAGCCAAGTTGCAACAGCATATTTAGCCCGATGCACTCCCCCACTTTGGCCCCAAAGGCACGGGAGATCCAAGTGACCACCCCGCTGTTGCTCAGCGGCGGCATCATGGACAGTTCACAGGTCATGAAGATTTGTGGCAGCACATAGCCTTCCCCGCTCACATCGACGCTACAAGAAGTGCCATCATAGGACTCGTGGTGGGATTTTTGAGGGTTGATAAGCGTGACTTCAACAAGACTGGTTTCAATCCATGGTGATCCTGATCTCCCACCTTCAAATCTCTTGTTGTCCACGACTCCAAGAATTTATGCTTAGGGCGCGTTTGGTGCTGTCCACGAAGGGGGCTAAAGATTATGCTAATATCAACTCCGACTGGCCTATCATAGTAGCTGTCAAGCCCACAAAGAATGCGGTGGGGCCGAAGCAGCGAACGGCTGCCTCGTCGCAGTGCTTGCTCAACTCATGTGTTTCGTTTTTTTTGCCAAGTGGATCAAGTGGATTGATCTCCCAATGTCTAGTTTACCGATGTTTACTGTAGGAAACTCCCCATGAAATCAGTAATTGCTAGAACCCCAAACCCTCCAACCATCTCCAACCATCAACTCCACGGTTCTTCACCGTTCTCCCCTCGTGCCGACACCTCGACACCAAAGGGCCCTGCACAGGTCATCGCAAAGGCAGCAGCCGCCACATGCCTGGTGCGCAGATGGCACCTCGACACGCGCCCAGGGCGCCCAGGCTCCAGATCCGACATGCCCCGGCGCCGAGGTGTATCTACATGGAACGCTATATCAGGCTATATCCTTAACAAAACAAATGCTTTTAAAATATGTTAAATGTAGAAGTAGAAATAGTACTGTAGAAATTATACAATATCTACCGTGTATTACTGTATTACAGAGAATTCAAGACGTGTAAAATGAACGTGTGCATACTTACTTGGATGTTTTTTGGGAACGGGGTTGTGGAAGCAGTCAGCCATGAACATCTTTAGGTGCTGCACGGAATTCGCATTCCCACTACTCTTGCGAACCTGAAAGCTTCATGCGTCTACTTTGCGGGAGATCTTCGTCAGCCGTCAAAATCAAAGATAGCTCTTGAAAATGGTCGGCACAAGCAAAACCGTAGTCTGAAGCAATAAAACCACTTCCGCTACGAAGCATGCCCACATCCCTTGTGCTCTTTTTCTGCTCGCTACTTAGTTATTTGAAAAGGCCATTCTGGAGACCGCCCTTTGCGATCCTTTTCTACATCATGGTTCCATGCCGGGACACAACGGACTTCAACCCATCATTGAATCTTCCTTAACTTCCATCGGATTGTCCCTGCATGTGAATCCATGCCGCAAAAATCCTACAGAGAATGCACAGGAATACCCAGGAATCCTCCTACAACATGAGCACTTTGGCCGACAGGACCGGCCGCAGTGCCTATGAAAATCTTTCTGGACTGCCACTGTTTTTGGTGGCACGGGATTGACAAAACTTTTTGCACTCTCGAATCAAAAAGAATGACAAAAAACACAAGTTTCTTCTGAGTCCATCAACAGACAACAGAAAAAATCCACGCTGTAACTATCAAAACTCGACCTCGCAGCTCCTTTGGCCACAGTCTTTTCCATGTCTTTTCCATGTCTTGAATGACTTGGACGCACTTTTCAGCGCCACTGTTACCTACGCTTTGGCCCCGCGGCCGCCTTCGGAATATTCCGTTTCTTCTTTTTTCCTGAGGGCAGAGATAAAAACAGACACACTCAGGAAATGCCTATAATGAACCATACCTAATTACCGAATTCAACCTTTTGGAGTCTTGGTTATGGGTCACTTATCGCTTGACCCTGGTATCCTTCTGTTGCAAAATACCTGATGCTACAGGGGCTTATCCACCCATGGTCGAAGTACTGACTCGGATGTGAAGAGCCAAAGAAAAAAGACATCCGATTAGTCATAAATAAACAAAATACTGTTCCATTTACTGTTCCATTTACTGTTCCATTTAGTAATTTAGTCCATCCACATTGGGTGCCCCTTTCGGCAAATTGCGATGTGCAGGACTGGATATAGACTCAGACTTCATATTTTGGCCAAGCATCTCAATACATGTCTCAAAGTAGGGATACCTCAGATCCATCCGCCTTGAAGGCGACGACTGGTCCAGTTTCACAAAAGCTGAGGTCTTCCCGTTTTCACATGTTTTCACCACTCATGTGGTAGACCAAATGCCATAAACCATCCCCAAAATCACCCGATTTCAACCATCCCCAACCCCAAATGGTAAATTTATTGTTGGGTTGCCAACCTTAAAACCGTTTGCAAATGTCATTGCCATGTTGCATGTAGTCCGCGACAATGTAACACAAGAGCAGGAGGATCCTTGGCTACCATCACTGAGAATTCCTTGCAAAAATGGATATATTTCCACCTATGCATGGGGGGATGACCATCCTGGAAAATGAACTAACTATGTTTTGACCACGGCCCGGGAGTGCCCACGTGAGCTCTTAAAAAAGAATCTGCCTCAAGCATCCTCAAGATGCAGCTTCTGGTAATCGATTGCCAACCAAGACTCACTCCCACAAAGGCCTGAGATTTGTTTTGGACTGGAAGGGACGCTCACTTGCACCACTCTCAAAGACTCCCTTAGATAATTTAATTGTTGACAAGTTCTTGTTAGACGACCTTTTGAGTTTGGAGTGTGGAATGGAAACTCAGTAGTACGGTAGCATCTTGGATGGCATATCCCTTTTTTTGATTTCTTCAATCAATGTCTATTGTGCGTTGGAAGCCGCTTCTTCACCAAGAAAACCACATGGAACTGCTGTCAGGAGTATGTGCGAGAAAAATGCTATCCGAATCGAAACATCTCGGAACCAGATTAAGCGTCTCAAAGTGCCAAAATGGCTCAAACATGGGGCCCAAAATGAACCCACCAAAATAGATCAAAATGGATCCTTTTTTTGGACCATCAATGAGGAGTCCAATGGACCCAAACAAATCCACCATTGGATGATCTCTTTCGTCAGAAACCATCTGGGCATCCGCGCCATCTCAGACCAGCTCACCTCAATGTCGCAAGTGAACGAACCCCAGCCTGGACATTCTGTATTTGCACAATTGCCCGGTCTGACATGCGAACCCCTTGTGCAAAAGAATCGTCAGCCCCAGGAGCAGCGAGTCAAAACAGAGAACAAAGTTGTGCTGCAGATCCAAAATGTGACTTGTACCATGGTTAACCGCTCCCAATGATCGCAGCTTTGCATCTAGAATAACCCCTTGCCACTCCAAGTCACTGGAGCACTTTGCTCCACCTCCACTGTGGCCTCTGGGTCCAGTTGCTGCATGTGCACCTGGCAGAAAAACCAGGGAAATCGAGTGAACACGCCATTCTTAGAATGAAAAACCATGGGAATATCATGGGGAAATCAATTTGGCAACAGAAAATTGCACGAAAATTATCAAACATCTGATGGATCTGATGGGGAAGTCATCTACAAAATGGATCACCATGGATCAAACTGGAGGAATTCCAAAAGAAAAATTACCAGACTCTACGCTGGAAGTATGCGTGCTTTGACTAAGTGGCTAGGGCTCAAAAATAGTCACTTGTGTATTATGAATTACGGATTGAGTTTACGGGTCAATGACTTTAAATATTGAAGCCGAGCAACATGTTTGTAGTTTTTGAGATTTTCCACATCTTCCAACCACCGTTCTCCCTGCGAAGGTTTCTGAAGTCTCCACCTTCACCAGCTCATCCAAGAAGGCATCCAGCTTCGACATGGCACCGACGCAAAACTGCGCGCAGCACGGCGCGGTGCCCCAGGGGTTGGCTCACGCCTTTTGGACGGACGTCTTGGGTTGCAACCACAAATGGACCATGATAACCACGGAAATCAATGTCAGAGGCACCGCAAATGTTCTCTAGAGATCCTATAGTCATAGTTTATTGGTATTGACGGGTATTGATGATATATGATGATATGGTTTGCACTCAAACTCCTCCTGTGCCTCAGGTGACCTGGGTCCAACTGGTGGCATCCGGTGGCCATGTGTTGCTTGATAGCTTTGTCATTGGGGTTCTCAGGAGGCATTCATGCTTGGATTTTGATATCTCCATGTCTTGTGCTCAACAGCTGCATTTCAAGCACAGGGTGTATGTGTATCGGCAAGCGTACTCAATATCCTGTTAATTCCATGGTTGATGGGGCCCAAAATAAAGGTCACCAAATGTACAAAGATTAAATTTTGACACTAAAAAAACAGAGAACCAACCAGAAAAAAACACGCACAAAAGTCCTGGATGATGTTGAATCTCCATGAATCTCCCTGTTTGACCCCCCATCCACTGGATATCCACCATCAAAGTCCCATTTTTGCCGAGGTCAAGCTGCAGCTGCAGACATCCGGGGGACCAAAGGCCAGCGGCTCCACATGGACACAAAAAACTTCACAAATCACTCGGCTATCCTTGAGATATGGAGGTTTCCTACAATGGGGGATCCCCAAAATGGATGGTTTATAGTGGAAAATCCTATTTAAATGGATGATTTGGAGGTATCCCCTTTTTAGGAAACCACCAGATACCTGGTGCAAAAGAAAGTACTCGAACGACACCAGAAGGGTTGATCATCAGTAGTGCGTCAAAAACAGTGTGGTCCATTGCTCCCCGTCGAACTAAAAAACTTGGCCTTGAGCAATTGCGCGCTGGCTGCTAACTCAGTCTCCATTGCCGACACTGATTGTGTCAGCGACTCTGCAGATTGGTATTTTGGACACTCAGTTCATGGCTGCGAAGTCATGAAACGTGCTGTCACCGTGCTGTTGCTCTTTTTGGACCTGTTTGGCAACTCTTACTGGGCATTACTGGGCCAACTAGGACCTGCAGAGGCGATTGGTCTTGGATTTTGTGGCCAAGGTGTCCACCAAGGTCATTTTCCTGCCTAGGACACCCGGAGATTGAAGTGCAGCCAGTCACGAATTCCGATGCCTAGATTCCCAGCCATTCTGACCCAAAGTCTGAAGCAAACTCTAGCGCCAAATGCTTGAGGAAGTTTCTTTAAGTTCAATCGTTTCACTAATACTTGTAGCACCAAACATTTGAAGGAAACTTCTTCAACCGCAACCAATTTGGGAAGCAAAAACAGTTACGAGTCGAATTCCACCATCTGTATGGTATGACAAACTTTAGATCCCCTCAACATCCAAAGTTGCTGTGTGTCGTCAAGTCGAAGCTATCTGACCCTGCTTGGATGACCATGCCTAGAATCTATAAGCCAGCTATGTTTGGATTGCCTGATTTGGGGATTCATTTGGGGGATTCCAAACTACTTAAGGTCACATTGAGTACCTGGCTAAGTACCCATCAACTTGGAACAGCCCCGGCGGGACCCACAGCAAAACGCTGTTCGCCCCGAGACAACGGAAGGAATCTCGGAATCACAAGGTGCAAAGATTGATTTATTCCTGATCCCCCAACCATCCAGACGTCTCTCCACGGAGAGGCAGAATATTTTGCCGAAATGATGTCTGCGGTCAAAAATGCGGATGCTTGGAGGGGTCTTGCTAAACTAGGCTCACAGGATTACAGCAACGCATGCCTTGAGCGAGGCCGCATCATTGCATGGCCCTTGAGATATGCCTGGTATAGAGCCACTATATTGTATGACGAAACCATTCGTCCGCTGTCAATCGGTTTGAAGCATGGCTGTGCTATACGTCACTACTGCCGAGATGAATTCGCTGGTGGGAGCTTGGGATACTGTGAGCACCAGAAATCTGATAGTCAAAGCCCAAAGCCCCAACAAAGATGCACTCAAAACGATCTATAGGACTTTGGCATCCGTTTCTGTGCTGGTGAACCACCAGAATGACACACACCAATACAGATACCTATGTGTCGGCATGAGGAATGCTAGAGCAGAGCATTAGAATCAGGTTGGTTTCGGTTGCAGATGGTTGATTCATCCCAGCATGTTGATCCATGTTCGATGGGACTGTCAACATTATTGTAGGTATGTATTTAAATATGATGTTATGTATACATATATATATACATATCAATTTGAGTTTGCACGGCGGTTTGGGTTGGTGGTTTGGAAGTCTGGGAATTCATGATTTTATGAACCTACAATTTTCAAATTTTATCAAACCTGAAAAATATTTTTTTTTATGAATCATTTTAAATACTAAAAAAATGCCAACCCAACTTAAGTCTATGGTTTGAATCTCAAGGAAATATATATATATATATATTTTAGTATGTTGGGTTTTTCACTTTATTACTTAATCTTAAATAAGTAATAAATTAATTGATGAATTATTTAATTAATTCATTAATTAGTTAATTATTATTTTAAATTCTATTTAAAAAAAAAAAAAAAACTTGTTGATCGTCATTACTATTTTTGTCGGCCGCACTTCAAATGTCAAGAATGTTTGAAAGTGGCTTTCGTCTGGCGTTCATTGAATTGAAGTTGAACTACTTGCCAAAAAAACACATACCCAAAATTGACACACATTGACAAAAGCCACAAAATCAGCCGCACCATGAACCTGTCTGTCTGGCCTACAGTGGCTCCTTTCATGACTTTGGTCAAACAGTTGCCATTAGGATCAACGAAGTTGGGTAGTTTGGACATTTGAATTTTCAGAAACAGTTTCCCATGAATTTTCCAACCCCTTAGATTTTAAACTAATCCGTCATTAGTAAGAAATTAAATTAATTAGCTCAAATTAAATAAAATAATTACACATTTTTTTCATTTCAAATTCATTTTTAAAATGTTAATTAAATAAATTTAAACACTATAATTTTGACTTAAATTATCTTTTAATGATCTTACTGAACCCTCTGATTTCCCAGACTTCCAAACCACCAACCCAAACCACGACATAAGCGTAACCTGAAAAAATATATATAATTTTAATATATATATATATATATTATATATATATACATTAAAATAAGTTTATACTACAGTTTATACTACATTTTAAAAAAATGTACACACACAGACACACACATTCCGTGGTAAACGCTGCCGGGAGGCGGGCACCCGTGGCACCCGTCCGTCGGCAGCTTCGGATCATCGAAGTGCACGGAAATGACCCTGGGGTGAACGGAGCCCTTGGATACCCCCAAAAAAAGGTAGCCTCATGAATTGGGATATTTGAGATATTATGTTTATAATGTTTATAATGTTTATAATGTTTGTAATGTTTATACATGTTTATAATGTTTATAATGTTTATACATGTTTATTCATGTTTATGCATGTTTGCATCATATCTTTGTATCTCTGCTTGCTGATTGCACGACCCATCCGACCCATCCCAAGAGATTAAACACGAACCATGCTAGATACTGCCAGTGAGATAGCGCAAATTCATCCCACCCATGGCTAAGGAAACCTCTTGGAGTCAGGAGAGGCAGACTGATATCCCTGGCAGTGCGGGCAAGTGCGGGGAAAACAATGATATTCCGGTCCCAATTTGGAATACGCTCCACATCACCAAAGTATCACTTCACAGAAAAATTGAGCGAATCCTCTGACAACAGTGGCAAAAAGTTTGAACGTTGCTTCCTCATTTCTACACTGACACGACAATATAAACATGGGTTTTATATGATGGTCCCATAAACCTAGGAACCATCCAACCGTGGCTATTTTTGGCACTTATACTGTTCAACCATCATATGGCCTTTCCAGCAAAAAAAAAACTGCCTTGTCAAAGGCCCTCAGCAGCTCTGCATGCAAATTGACCTGGTAGCTGGCCGTCATCGCTCGAACCTCAAAAGCTGCAGCTGGCCACCTCTGCAGCTGGCAAGACACTACTGGGCTTCCCAACACACTGATGAAAATGATCCACGTCCGTGCCCATGGTGGGCACACCCATGCCGCCAACCTTGACATCACGAAAATCTGGTCTGGGTTTGGGAGTCAAAGGATGATTCCACGCATAGTCATTAAACTGAAAATCGTTTCCATTGAACCCACAGAAGCAAAAGAAACTCAAATCAACTCATCTTGACCCCTTGATTCTTGAGATCACTGGGCAGCCACACATCAATAAAGGTCACGACTTTGGTCTTCTCCTCATAGTAAATGTTGGACGGCTGGAAGTCCCCATGTTGTTCATTGCCATAGCCTTGAAGCAAGAATTGTGGCAGCAGTGGAACCCCAACTGGTGTTATATCCTCCTCATGAGCTGTGGATCTGAAACAGGAAAAGGGATCATCCTCTTGTGCCGTGCTCGAACACGCCTCCTAAATCTTCATCCCCAGCCACTGGCGAATCACTCATCTTTTTCCATCAAGAGACGGTAATGAAACTGGGCCAGGCAATGACCAACCTCTTCCAAAGCACAATTCAGCTGCTGCATCTGATTCGCCTCAGGGTCAGTCTGGGAGCATGGAGAAACCATTGGGAACCCAGTACCATTGGTTCCCCAAATTTGGGGACACGCGGACACACGTGCCAGCCAAATCTTCAGTGCCAAAGCCAAGATGGCAACAGTCTCTCCTCGACACTCCCGAAGAAGTTCAAACTCCAAGTCACGTAGAACTTTGCAGCTACGAACTCGCAAAGCCGCTCTCCAGGGCACTTTTTCATGGCGATGATGTCGCTGATCTTGCCTTCTGGGCCTAGCCAAGTCACCAAAGAGCCCAGAAAGCCAGTTTAGTGAGATCCCTGGGAGAGGCACCCCAGTCCATGCCAGTCCCCCGCCTGTGCAGCTGAAGATCTTCCTGAGGCGATTTGCTCTGCAAAATGCTTGAAAGTTAAGGCAAGTTAAGGCCTGCGATATAATAACCATGTATAATTGCTGTATAACAGTACCAGTAGTACCCGCACGAGGCGGGGCGGAAGTTGCCTTAAAGATATATATGAGAACTTTCTCATCTATAGAACTTGCATGCGCCGTGCGCCAGCCAAGCCCGTGCGTGCGTGCACTCTGCGAAAGTTGTGTCCTGCTTCACATGTCACATGTGAAGCTCCACTTCACACTTGACACTTGACAGTCTTCACACTTCACACTGCACCCTTCGCAATCAACACTTCACACTTCTCACTTCACACTGCACTCTTCCCAATCCACACTTCACACTTCACTGCACGCTTCCCACTGCACACTCCACACTTCACACTTCACACTCCACACTTCACACTTCACACTCCACACTTCACACTGCACTCTTCACGCCCCACACTTCACACTGCACTCTTCACACTCCACACTTCATCTCATCTGAGCTCTTCTCACCTTATCCCAGCTCATCTCTTCTCATCTCATCTCTTCTCATATGTCACCTAAGCTTTCATGAATCACTTCCCAGTACTACTACTAAGGAACTTGCATGTGCCGTGCGCCAGCCAGGCCCGTGCGTGCGTGCTTTGTGCGAAGCTGTTGCAGTGTTGCTGTCCAAGAACATGACCTGCGCGCGACCCCGGTACAATGCAAACACTTTCCTCACACTTCACATTGCACTCTTCACACCCCACACTCCACACTTCACACTTGCACTTCATCTCAACTCATCTCATCTGAGCTCTTCTCACCTCATTCCATGTCTTCCCATATGTCAGCTAAGTTCTTCTTGGCTATTTTTATTTCAAGTACTTCCCAGTACTGATGTCTACTACAAAAGCTTGCAAAAACCACTTCCCAGTACTACTTTGTACTACAAAGCTTGCACAAGACACTTCCCAGTACTACTTTGTACTACAAAGCTTGCACAAAGGACTCCCCAGTACTACTTTGTACTACAAAGCTTGCACAAACTACTTCCAGTACTACTTTGTACTACAAAGCTTGCACAAAACACGTTCCAGTACTACTTTGTACTACAAAGCTTCTACACACATCAAGTTCTTTCGCAGAGAAGCTTTTACACGCAGCAAGCTTTTCAAGCAGAGAAGCTTTTACACACAACAAGCTTCTTCACAGAGAAGCTTTCACACACAGCAAGCGTTTACACACAGAACACTTACACACAGTGCTTTTACACATGGCAAGCGTTTACACACAGAAACTTTTGCACAGAGACGCTTTTACACACAGATAGGCTTTTACACACAGCAAGCTTTTACACACAAAATCTTTTTCACACAACAAGCTTTCAAACACAGCAAGCGTTTACACACAGAACACTTACACACAGTGCTTTTACACATGGCAAGCGTTTACACACACAGCAAGCTTTTTAAACAGAGAAGCTTTTACACACAACAAGCTTTTACACAGAGAAGCTTTTACACACAGCAAGCTTTCACACACAGCAAGCGTTTACACACAGAACACTTGCGCACAGTGCTTTTACACACGGCAAGCGTTTACACACACAGAAACTTTTACACAGAGACGCTTTTACACACAGAGAAGCTTTTACACACAGCAAGCTTTTACAGAAAAAGTTTTTGCACAGAGAAGCTTTCTTGTACATAATCACAACAGGAATTGCAGCTCCAAAACTGGATCTCGACGCCAAAGCGACAAAAAGACGATTTTGAAGCACTTTTTAAAAGGAATTTTAAAAGGAAAATTATTAGCGCCAAAATTGAGAAAATCTGCTGACAAATCACTTTCGCAGCCTTGATGCAGCCATTCCAATACGATTTACGATCTTCAGCTGCAAAAGACAATAGTATTACGCATGCAGCCGCTGCACCAAGCAACCTTGACGCAGCCACTACAATGCGATCTGCAGAGACTGAGTTGCAAAACACAATAGAACTACGTGCAATGGCGTCGGAAATTGCAGCTCCAAAACCGGATCTCGACGCCAAAGCGACAAAAAGACGATTTTGAAGCACTTTTTAAAAGGAATTTTAAAAGGAAAATTATTAGCGCCAAAATTGAGAAAATCTGCTGACAAATCACTTTCGCAGCCTTGATGCAGCCGTTCCAATACGGTTTACGATCTTCAGCTGCAAAAGACATTAGTATTACGCATGCAGCCGCTGCACCAGGCAACCTTCATGCAGCCACTACAATGCGATCTGCAGAGACTGAGTTGCAAAACACAATAGAACTAGGCGCAAGGGCGTCGGAAATTGCAGCTCCAAAACCGGATCTCGACGCCAAAGCGACAAAAAGACGATTTTGAAGCACTTTTTAAAAGGAATTTTAAAAGGAAAATTTATTAGCGCCAAAATTGAGAAAATCTGCTGACAATTCACTTTCGCAGCCTTGATGCAGCCATTCCAATACGATTTACGATCTTCAGCTGCAAAAGACAATAGTATTACGCATGCAGCCGCTGCACCAAGCAACCTTGACGCAGCCACTACAATGCGATCTGCAGAGACTGAGTTGCAAAACACAATAGAACTACGTGCAATGGCGTCGGAAATTGCAGCTCCAAAACCGGATCTCGACGCCAAAGCGACAAAAAGACGATTTTGAAGCACTTTTTAAAAGGAATTTTAAAAGGAAAATTATTACCGCCAAAATTGAGAAAATCTGCTGACAAATCACTTTCGCAGCCTTGATGCAGCCATTCCAATACGATTTACGATCTTCAGCTGCAAAAGACAATAGTATTACGCATGCAGCCGCTGCACCAAGCAACCTTGACGCAGCCACTACAATGCGATCTGCAGAGACTGAGTTGCAAAACCACAATAGAACTACGCGCAATGGCGTCGGAAATTGCAGCTCCAAAACCGGATCTCGACGCCAAAGCGACAAAAAGACGATTTTGAAGCACTTTTTAAAAGGAATTTTAAAAGGAAAATTTTTAGCGCCAAAATTGAGAAAATCTGCTGACAATTCACTTTCGCAGCCTTGATGCAGCCATTCCAATACGATTTACGATCTTCAGCTGCAAAAGACAATAGTATTACGCATGCAGCCGCTGCACCAAGCAACCTTGACGCAGCCACTACAATGCGATTTGCCACCACAGCTTCAAGAAACGCATAGAACTACGCACACAGACACAACCACTCGTTGCAAAACACATAGGAGGAACAATTCGCGCATGAAACGACCGCAGCCGCAACCGCCGCACAGACGAGGTACCTTTCATCGCCGGCTGCAGCCACTTTACACAGAAAAACACAAGGTTTCGTGCTCCGGCTTCCTCCCCACAACACACGGCATGCAACATCATGCAGCCATTCCAATGCGATCTTCCACCACAGCTTCAAGCAACGCATAGAACTACGCACGCAGACACAACCACTCGTTGCAAAACACATAGGAGGAACAATTCGCGCATGAAACGACCGCAGCCACAACCGCCGCACAGACGAGGTAGCTTTCATCGCCGGCTGCAGCCACTTTACACGGAAAAACATAAGGTTTCGTGCTCCGGCTTCCTCCCCACAACAAAGCCCACGCAACATTCATGCAGCCATTCCAATGCGATCTACAACCACAACTTCAAGAAACGCATAGAACTACACACACAGGAAGCACCATTGTTGCAAAACACATAGAAGGAACCAAACGACCGCAGCCGCAACCGCCGCACACACAAGGTACCTTTCATCGCCGGCTGCAGCCACTTGACACGGAAAAACACAAGGTTTCGTGCTCCGGCTTCCTCCCCAAAACAAAACCCATGCAACATTCATGCAGCCATTCTGCAACCACAACTTCAAGAAACGCATAGAACTACACACACAGGAACCATCATTGTTGCAAAACACATAGAAGGAACCAAACGACCCCAGCCGCAACCGCCGCACAGACGAGGTAGCTTTCATCGCCGGCTGCAGCCACTTTACACGGAAAAACACACGGTTTCGTGCTCCGGCTTCCTCCCCAACACAAAGCCCATGCAACATCATGCAGCCATTCCAATGCGATCTGGCACCACAGCGTCAAGAAACGCATCGAACTACGCACACAGGAACAAGCATTGTTGCAAAACACATAGAAGGAACCAAACGACCCCAGCCGCAACCGCCGCACAGACGAGGTAGCTTTCATCGACGGCTGCAGCCACTTTACACGGAAAAACACACGGTTTCGTGCTCCGGCTTCCTCCCCAACACAAAGCCCATGCAACATCATGCAGCCATTCCAATGCGATCTGGCACCACAGCGTCAAGAAACGCATAGAACTACGCACACAGGAACAAACATTGGTGCAAAACACATAGAAGGAACCAAACGACCCCAGCCGCAACCGTCGCACAGACGAAGTAGCTTTCATCGCCGGCTGCAGCCACTTTACACGGAAAAACACACGGTTTCGTGCTCCAGCTTCCTCCCCACAACACACGGCATGCAACATCATGCAGCCATTCCAATGCGATCTGGCACCACAGCGTCAAGAAACGCATAGAACTACGCACACAGGAACAAGCATTGTTGCAAAACACATAGAAGGAACCAAACGACCCCAGCCGCAACCGCCGCACAGACGAGGTCGCTTTCATCGCCGGCTGCAGCCACTTTACACGGAAAAACGCACGGTTTCGTGCTCCGGCTTCCTCCCCAACACAAAGCCCATGCAACATCATGCAGCCATTCCAATGCGATCTGGCACCAGAGCGTCAAGAAACGCATAGACCTACGCACACAGGAACAAGCATTGTGGCAAAACACATAGAAGGAACCAAACGACCCCAGCCGCAACCGCCGCACAGACGAGGTAGCTTTCATCGCCGGCTGCAGCCACTTTACACGGAAAAACACACGGTTTCGTGCTCCGGCTTCCTCCCCACAACATAGCCCATGCAACATCATGCAGCCATTCCAATGCGATCTGGCACCACAGCGTCAAGAAACGCACAG